CTACTCCTCTCTGTATATTTGACTTTCCAATAACATAATATAGATAATAGAGCTTGGCGTAGTAGCCTAGCAGCTAAAGTTCTCGCCTTTCACAAGCCCCCCCCCCGCCCCCCCAAAAAAACCAAACATTTACTAAGAGGTAGGTCCATGACTTAGCATTGAAAGCACTAGTTGGGATGCCACATCCTATATTGTGTATCTGGGTTAATGCCCCTTTCTGTTTGCAATTCTTTCTTCCTGCTGATGTGTACCCTGGGAGGCAGCAGATGCTAGCTCAAGTAGTGGGTGGGCATTACACATGTGGGAGACCTACGTTGAGTTCCAGGCTCCCAACTTTGCAACATGGGGAATGAACCAACCGATTGAAGCTTTCTCTCTCTGTGTTTCAAATAAAACATAACATTTTAAATTGTTAGCAAGAGGGAGGGCCTTCTTGCTTCACCAGTTGATCTGGTTTTTATTTTCTTTAGCAACTCTTGGCAGGCTCCCGCTTTACCCTGTGCCATGTAACCCTTCTCACTTTGTGCGTTGTGCTCTGATTACTTTTATTTCTTTTCACCACTGGATCATGAGTTCCTGAAGGACAAAGAATTATTTGAGTCCTTGACCCCCAGAGTCTGGCACACAGATTAGTAAATGTTTGCTAAATGAATAAGGAAGTGGAGTTAATTTAAGGGGGTGGGGAAGTGTGATTTACCCAAAGCTGGATTGGCAAGGCAAATAGAAAAGAGGGAGGTGCCAACATGAAAACAGCCTTGAGATGCCTGCCAACAGGCTGAGCAAGTTGGCACAAATGCAATGCCAATTCAGGCCTGGTAGCTGAGGGGCATTTATCCTGCGAAGGTCAACTGCTCTGACCTCTATTTGGCTTCCATTTCTACGTGCCTTTGCAGGATACCTAAATTGTTGGTTATCACTTTCCTTGGGTAGTCATTCTTCCTCTTACAACTTTGTTTTTGGTCATTAAACACAAAGAATATTTCTTATATATAACTTAATTGCTCATGAATATCATTTCTCGATCTCCATTTTTTTTTTACAAGCTTCTCTAAAAAGTTGCATATGCTTTTGCCACTCTCACTCCAGTGCCTTCCATTTCCCGTAATTTTAGAACCTCGGTGATTTCTCAGTCACTGAATTCCAGGGCCACTCTTGGGTATCACAGTTGACTTCTGAGCAGCTTCCAACCCTGCTGACCATTCCCTCTCCTTCCTGCAATACTCTGTTAAGTAACTTTTACATAACACCAGTCTTCTGGTTTTTCTCTTACTCTCTGGCAGCCTATGTCTCTGTGGCTACATTTCCTTGTCTGTACAGCAGTGTGTAATTCAGGGCTGTGCCTTAGGTTTGCATTGGTCCTTACTTTACTCTCCCTCCCTAAGTGGTGAAATACTGCCCATAGCTTCAATGATCATGTAAAAATGGATGGGCTGAGTCCGGCATAGTAGCCTAGTGGCTAAAGTCCTTGTCTTGCATGCACAGGGATCCCATATGGGTACCTGTTTGTATCATGGCTGCTGTCTGTGGCCTGGGAAAGCAGAAGAGGATGGCCCAAGGCTTTGAGACCCTGCACCTGCGTGGGAGACCTGGAACAAGCCCTTTGCTCCTGGCCTCAGCTCAGCTCAGCTCCAGCCATTGCAGCTACTTGGGGAGTGAACCAGTATACAGATCTTCCTGTCTCTCCTCTCAATAAATCTGCCTATCCAATAAAAAAAATCTTAAAAAATACATTCCCTGATGTATCTCTGTCCAATTATATTTCTGCTTGCTAAGACCCATTTGTCCAACTACTCCAGTTCCCACCTGCTGCTTACCCTTACTACCATTTCTATCTTACCAGTTCACTGATGACTCCAATACTGCCAAATCCATTTCTGGCCTTCCATACCTTTATTTCTCTATGGCAGAATCCCATTTGTTCCACTTGTGATCTAGTTCCCTGCTAGTGTGCCTGAGAAAGCAGCAAAACATATCCTAAGTACTTGGAGGTCCTGTCATCTTCTCAAAATAATTTTCTTTTCCAAATTTTATTACTCTTTCCCAGTTGAGGACCATTTGCTTTTCTTTTTAAAATATTACAGTTTTTTTGGGGCCCAGCAGCATGGCCTAGTGGCTAAAGTCCTCACCTTGAACACGCCAGGATCCCACATGGGCACTGGTTCTAACCCCGGCAGCTCCACTTCCCATCCAGCTCCCTGCTTGTGGCCTGGGAAAGCAGTTGAGGACAACCTAAGCCTTGGGGCCCTGCGCCTGCAGGGAAAACCCGGAAAAGGTTCCTGGCTCCTGGCTTCAGATTGCCCAGGCTCTGGCCGTTGCGCTCACTTGGGGAGTGAATCATCAGATGGAAGATCTTCCTCTCTGACTCTCCTCCTCTCTGTATATCTAACTTTGTAATAAAAATAAATACAAAAAACCCTAAATGTTACAGTTTTTTTTTTAAGTTATTCCTTTTTGGCTCAAGCCTTACCTTGCAAGCATTATCAATCCCTTATCGGTGCCAATTCGTGTCTCAGCTGCCCCACTTCCCATCCAGCTTCCTCCTTGTGGCCTGGGAAAGCAGTGGAGTATACCCTAAGTCTTGGAACCCTGCACCCATGTGGGAGACCCGGAAGAAGCTCCTTGCTCCTGATCAGCTCAGCTCTGACCATTGCAGCCATTTGGGGTGTGAAATAGTGGGTGGAAATTTTTTTTTCTCTCCTACTCACCATAAATCTGATCTGCCTTTCCAATAACAATAAATAAATGAGTTTTTAAAAAGATTTATTTATTGTTATTGAAAAGGCAGTTTTTCAGATAGAGACAGGGAGATAGAGCAGTAAGTCTTTTGTCTATCTGCTGGTTCATCCCACAAACAGCTGCAACATCCAGAGTGAGGCTGGGAGCCAGAAGCTTCCTCTGGTTTCATGTGAGTGCAGGGGTCCAAGGATTTGAGCAGTCTTCCACTGCCTTCCCAGGCCACAAGCAGAGAACTGGATGGGAATTGAAGCAGCTGGAACACAAACTGGTACCCATATGCATTGCTGGTACTACAAGGGAGAGGATCAGCCAGTTGTGCTACTGCACTGACCCCAAGATCATTCTCTTTCAGTCGTCTTTTGTGACTATTCTGTTTCCTGACTCTTTGGATATGTCTTTAAATTTTTTTAAAAAATTCTTGGGCCCAGCATTGTGGCCTAGCAGCCAAAGTCCTCACCTTAAATGCACCAGGATCCCATAGGGGTGCTGGTTCTAATCCCAGCAGCTCCACTTCCAATCCAGCTCCCTGCTTGTGGCCTGGGACAGCAGTTGAGGATGGCCCAAAGCTTTGGGACCTGCGCCCGTGTGGGAGACCTGGAAGAAGTTCCTGGATCCTGGCTTCGGATCGGTGCAGCACTGGCTGTTGCAGTCACTTTGGGAGTGATTCATCGGATGGAAGATCTTCCTCTCTGTCTCTCCTCCTCCTCTCTGTACATCTGACTTTGTAAAAAAAAAAAAATTAGATAAATAAATCTTTAAAATATTCTTGTTGGAGAGCCCAGCGGCGTGGCCTAGTGGCTAAAGTCCTGACTGTGAATGCTCCGGGATCCCATATGGGCACCTGTTCTAATCCTGGGGGCCCACTTCCCATCCAGCTCCCTACTTGTGGCCTGGGAAAGCAGTGGAGGATGGCCCAGAGTTGGGACCCTACTCTCACATGGGAGACCTGGAAGATCTTGGCTCCTGGCTTCGGATCAGCGCAGCACCAGCCACTGCGGCCACTTGGGGCGTGAATTCATTGGATGGAAGATCTTCTCTGTATATCTGCCTTCCCAATAAAAATAAATCTTAAAAAAAATTTTTATTGGGGGCCCAGCACCTCAAGTCCTCACCTTCAACGCACCGAGATCCCATATGGCTGCCAGTTCTAGTCCCGGTACCTCCACTTCCCATCCAGCTCCTTGCTTGTGGCCTGGGAAAACAGTCGAGGACGGCCCAAGGCTTTGGGACCCTGCACCTGCATGGGAGACCTGGAGGAGGTTCCTGGCTCCTGGCTTCAAATCGGCGTAGCACTGGCCGTTGCAGTCACTTGGGGAGTGAATCATTGGATGGAATATCTTCCTATCTCTCCTCCTCTCTGTATATCTGACTTTATAATAAAAAAAAAAATCTTTAAAAATTTTTTATTGGAAAGATATACAGATAAAAGGAAAAACAATACCATCTTCCGTCCACTGCTTCACTCCCCAAGTGGCCCAATGGCTGGAGCTGAACCAACACAAAGTCAGAGCCAGGAGCTTCTTCTGGGTCTCCCATGCAAATACAAGGTCCCAAGGCTGTGGTTCATCCTCTATTGCCTTCTGAGACTACAAGCAGGGAGCTGGGTGGGAAATGGAGCAGCCAGGACACAAACCAGTGTGCATCTGGGATCCCAGTGTGTGCAAGGCATTCAGCCACTACGCTACCATACTGGGCCCCAGGATACTATCTAAAAGCTTAGGGAACATAGGGCCTATACCATAGCATAGTAGGTGAAGCGTCTCTGTGGTGTCAATATCCCATATGGGTGCCAGTAAGAATCCCAGTTGTTCCACTTGTGACCCAGTTCCCTGTTAATGTGCCTGAGAAAGCAGCAAAAGATGTCGTAAGTACTTGGGGTCCTGCAACCATGTGGTAGACTTTGAAGAAGCTCCAGGCTTCTTAGTGTGGACAAGCTGGTTGGCCATTATACCAGGTGGAGAGTGAACCAGTAGACAGAAGACCTCTATTTTGTTCTATCTTTGTAAATCTACCTTGAATGGCATGAGACAATTTAGAAGTTTAAGGATATCATCAACATCTTGCTTTATACAGAACAACTCTAGTTAAGCATGATTTGATCCACTTCCTGGTGGACAAAACAAAAGCAGAATGCTACCGAGTGCGTAACTATGATCATTCATCCACTTTCAAAATTCTGAAGAAGTTAATCCATATTAAAAGTTTATTTCCTCAACACTAACGGCGATTTAATAATGGTAATAAACACACAGTATCATATTTGTATGCTGCTGATATTTATTAACATCAACACAAAATAAGTTAAGACGTGAAGCTGTTACTTTAACAGGAACAGATATTTGTGCAGTTTCCTTCCTGGAGAGGGTATGCTTTTAGAACCAGACCTAAGGTAAAACAAAGACTGAACTGTCAAGAACCAAACACAGGCTATGCTTTACCTATTAAAAGAAAAACTGCTGAAGACAGACTGAGATGTTTCAGAATATTCCTCATGTCAAGCTCAGGTAAGCAAACAGAAAAGTCATCATAAAGTTTTACGACAAAGGATATAGATACAACATGACTAGCTAGATTTTTGCAGTGAGAATTTGTTAAGTCCTTCACTGTACTTGAACTACAATTACATGCTTGCTGCTTCTACACTATACAAAGTCAACAGTTACCACCAACAATGCAAGATAGCAAGATTTGAACAAGAGTTCAAAGTGACTCTGCTCCACTCAAGCTAAGAAAAATTAAGGCAGGATTAACCTTTTTAGAGCCAGCTCTTTTGTTTTTTTTTTTCTTGCGTTGCACACAATCAAGTTCTTACTTGACACTTCCTGCCTGCAAATCACAACATGTGTCCTCATTGTTACGTTTGACACTTTACAATGAATTTGAAGAAAATGCAAAAACAGTGAAACTGTACTTCCAATTCTGAGCCTGCAATCGGGTTCCTGCTTTACCTCTAAACATACTCCTCTGCAGTGTACCCCACCAGCACAGCGACACCCTTCTCTTTCTCTATTCCTTTGCCCTGAGGGCACTTCTGCCTTCCTTAATACGTGCTCTTTGGCTGCCTGGACAGTCAGGATAGCTAGGGCCCTTTACACTTATCACTCCTCTCCCCCTTCTTTTCTATGGCTAATACCACTTTCCTGCTTTTTGTCTATTGCTGAATCTCCAGACTTGGTACTGTCATCGGGGGGACAAAGTCGATTTCGGCTTCGAGCTCCTGGTTGGTAAAGCTGCATCGCAGGGCGATCCTGAAGTAGAAATGCAATGTTAATATAATTAATAATAATAATACCGAATTAGAACAGTAATAATAATAATATTACAACAGTGCTAATAATTTTTTACATGGCATTTTCAGCACCAAAAAAAGGACAAAACCCCCAAAATGAGGGCATGGTACGTAACAGCTGCCCACTTCTGTCCTCTTGTCTGCAGAGAAAAACGACCATTTCATAAGTGGCATTTTATATGCTTAGAGTAAATTTTTGAGATCTATACCACCTAATTTTCTTAACTATGTCAAGTTGAAGCAATGAGGTTTTTTTTAAAATAACATTTAAAAATCTTAACTGTCACCCATCCCCCCTTCCTATAAGTAAACTGGCTGTAAAATCAAGGAATGCCAAAAGTAAAAGTGAAGACTTCAGTGGCTGCATCACTGAAAGTTTCAACTCAGACACTTGGTAACTTGCTACAAACATTTGTTTCTGATTCAGGTACAACATAACACCCCAGAAGATGGCAAGTTAGAGCTCAGATTCCCAAAAAAGCATCTAGAAAGTCATCATGTATCTCTTAGCTAAAAATAATACTTGGTTTAACAATATGATCCTGGAAAATTTAGATATATAATCCTATTTAAGAATTCAACCAGGGCCTGGCACCGTAGCCTAGCAGCTAAAGTACCTTGCCTTGCACATGCTGGAATCCCATATGGACACCAGTTCTAATCCTGCCAGCCCTGTTTCCCATCCAGCTCCCTGCTTGTGGCCTGGGAAAGCAGTCGAGGACTGCCCAAAGCCTTGGGACCCTGCACCCGAATGGGAGACCCAGAAAAAGCTCCTGGGTTTGGATCAGCTCAGCTCCTGCAGTTGCAGCCGCTTGGGTAATGAACTAGAACATGAAGATCCTTCTCTTTGTATATCTCCTTTCCAATAAAAATAATAAATAATAAAAATCTTTAAATAAATCAATCTTTAAAACAACAAAAAAAGGGCCCGGTGTCATGGCCTAGCAGCTAGCAGCTAAAGTCCTCACCTTGAATGAGCCAGGATCCCATATGGGCTCTGGTTCTAATCCCAGCAGCTCCACTTCCCATCCAGCTCCCTGCTTGTGACCTGGGAAAGCAGTTGAGGACGGCCCAAAGCCTTGGAACCCTGCACCCGTGTGGGAGACCCAGAAGAGCTCCTGGCCGTTGTGGTCACTTGGGGAGTGAATCACCAGACGGAAGATATTTCTGTCTCTCCTCTTCTCTATATATTTCTGACTTTGCAATAAAAATAAATCTTTAAAAAAGAAAAAATTATTCAACCAAAAATTCCATGTGCCTAACCTTCCCCTTTTCCCTGATTTATGAAAATCCCTAAAAGCACTAGACTAACCTAATTCCAACAAAATATTTCACTGTTTTCACCAGAAATAATATTAAAACAGCCGAGAATCCTCCCTATATACAAAGAAACAAGTGATGGGGCTGCCACTATGCAAAGAGACAATGTAACACCAACTAGGAGAAACGAGTAACACAGTGCAACATACAAAAAGATTTCTAAATCCTTATTAAAGACAAAAACAGAATTCAGCCATAACCTCAAGAAGGTGCTGGGGCAAAAATCATCACTGTTAGGATTGGTGAAGAAAGGGAAAGGAGCAAGGATTCATCTTCTCCTTGTGTAAACTGCTTTCAAATGAACTGAGTTTGTACATCACGGTTTTTTATTCCCTCCCAATGAAATAACGAAACTGAGCAAAAATTAAGAAAGACTGACAAAATACATAAGCCTACGCATTTGTTGCTTTCAACTTACCTGCAAAAAGTTTTTTAAGTAAGTATATACATTTTTTTTTAAGATTTATTTTATTTTTATTGGAAAGGCGGATATACAGAGAGGAGAGACAGAGAGGAAGATCTTCCGTCCGATGATTCACTCCCTAAGTGAGCGCAACGGATGATGCTATGCCGATCCAAAGCCAGGAGCCTCTTCCGGGTCTCCCACACGGGCGCAGGTTCCCAAAGCTTTGGGCCATCCTCGACTGCTTTCCCGGGCCACAGGCAGGGAGCTGGATGGGAAGTGGGGCTGCCGGGATTACAACCAGCGCCCATATGGGATCCTGGGCGTGCAAGGCGAGGACCTTAACCACTGCGGCACTGCGCCGGGCCCGTAAGTATTTTTAAAGATTTATTTATTTTCAGTGGAAAGAAAGACTTATGGAGAGAAAGACAGAGAAAGATTTTCCATCCACTGTTTCACTCGCCAAATGGCTGTAATGGCCAGGGCCACGCCAATCCAATTCAGGAGCCTCTTCCAGGTCTCCCGCACAGGTGCAGGGGCCCAAGGACTTGGGCTGTCCTCTGTTGCTTTCCCAGGCTATCAGCAGGGAGCTAAATGGGAAGGAGCAGCTGGGACAGAAACCAGTGCCCAGGTGGGATGCAAGCTCACAAGACTGAGGATTAGGCAGTTGAGGTATCATGCTGGACCCAAAATTTCAATCTAAAGTAGTGGTTTGTAAAATTTGTACAGTGAATACCCATATTCATCAACTGCTAACATTTTGTCACATTTGCTCATGTATTATTTTGCAGACCCATCTCTGAGAGTAATATTTCAACTTGAATTTCCAAGAACAAGGACATTCTATTACATAATCCCAATACAATGGCTGCTGACTAATCATGACATCACAAAGAAAAGGACACCCAGACATCACATACTTCCTGGTGTGATACAATTAGAAGTGTATGACACCACATATGGCAGTACAAGGACTTAAAGTACTTCAAAATGTTCATGGAACATGGAATTAGATTGGGCTCAGCACAGTAGCCTAGTGGTTAATGTCCTTCCTCGCCATGCTGCACACTCCTGGATCCCATATGGGCACCTGTTCTAATCCTGGGGCCCACTTCCCATCCAGCTCCCTGCCTGTGGCCCAGGAAAGCAGTCGAGGACGGCCCAAAGCCTTGGGACCCTGCACCCACATCAGAGACCCAGAAGACATTCTTGGCTACAGATCAGCATAGCTCTGGCCTTTGTGGCCACTTGGGGAGTGAATCATCAGATGAAAGATCTTCATCTGTCTCTCTTCCTTTCTGTATATCTGATTTTCTAGTAAAAATAAAATGAATCTTATAAAAGAAGCTTATTTTGATGTAATTTATAATGTTCAAGTGATATGCATTTTCCATGAAATTTTTGAAGATCCCTCAGGAACTTCCCCAAGATGAAACGTGAATATACTCAAGTCCCTAGATCAGGAGCTGCCTGTTTTTGTAACCTTGATGGTCCTACACACACTGTGGCCCCCAAAGCATAAGATACTTAACATCTGATCTTTTACAGAGCTTGTTTGCTGATTCCCTGACCAAAATATAACTACTTGTTAAAGTAAACTCAGGAGATAAATGTTACATGATAACACAGGATGTGTCTGCCAATCTTGGTGACAACCTTGACAGGATAAATCTATTTCATCCAGTATCAGAGTACCTGGAAGACAGTCTCTCCTTTGCTTATGATTAAGACTCCTGGGGCCTGGTGGCGTGGCCTAGTGGCTAAAGTCCTCGCCTTGAACACACCAGGATCCCATAGGGGTGCTGGTTCTAATCCCAGCAGCTCCAGTTCCCATCCAGCTCCCTGCTTGTGGCCTGGGAAAGCAGTTGAGGATGGCCCAAAGCTTTGGGACCTGCACCCGTGTGGGAGACCTGGAAGAAGCTCCTGACTCCTAGCTTCAGATCAGTTTATCTCTGGTAGTTGTGGCAACTTGGGGAGTGAATCATCGGACAGAGGATCTTCCTCTCTGCCTCTCCTCCTCCTCTATGTATATATGACTTTCCAATAGAAATAAATAAATCTTAAAAAAAAAAGATTCCTGCTAATTTCACTGCACTGTGGCAGGCAGTAGATGACAGCTCAAGTATTTGGGTTGCTATTACTTCTGCGGGATACCTGAATGGTGTTCCTGGCTCCTAGCTTTGCCTGACCCACCCCCTGGCTCTTGTGGGGGTATTTGTGGGAGTGAATCAATGGGGGGGGGGGGGAGATCTCTGTCCCTTTCTTGGCCTTTCAAATAAATAAAATTTCAAAAGGAGCGTCAGGCTGGTGTTGTGACAGTGGTAGAAGGCACTCTTGTAGTACCAGAGTCCTGTGTCAGAGTGTTAGAGTCCTCGCTGTTCTGCTTCCCATCTCACTTCCTGCTAATGTGCCTAGGAAAGCAGGCACTTGGGAAGATGGCCCAGCTACTTGGGACTCTGGTCCTTTAAGGGAGACCAAGATGGAATTTCTGGTCCCTGGCTTAGGCCTAACCCAGACCTGGTTGTTACAGGCATTTGGGCACTGAACTGTAAGAGAGATGTGAGTGATCGTTCTTTGTTGCTCTGACTTTCAGATAAACAATTAAATCTTTTAAAATAGAAGGACTTGTTTAGATTCAAAGAAAATTTAATGAGACATTTCAAGCAAATACAATTTGGAGCCTTGTTTAAATCCTCTAAAATAAATTAATAAAGTATTCAGGGCAATTTGAACACTAAGTAGACAGGATGTTAAAGAACTGTTACTTTTGGGCCTGGCACAGTAGGCAAGTACCTAAAGTCCTCGGCTTGCACGTGCCAGGCTCCCATATGGGCACCAGTTCGTGTCTCAGAGGCTTCACTTCCCTTCCAGCTCTCTGTTTTGTGGCCTGGGAAATGAGAGGAGATGACCCAAAGCCTGGAACCCTGCACCCACATGGAAGACCCAGAGGACCCAGAGGAAGGTCCCAGAGGACCCAGAGGAAGGCCCTGGCTTTGGATCGGCTCAGCTCTGGCTGTTTTGGCCACTTGGGGAGTGAACCAGCAGATGGAAGATCTTTCTGTGTCTCCTTCTCTCTATAAATCTGACCTTGCAATAAAAGTAAAAGTCTTTAAAAATGAAGGAAGGAAGAAAAGAAAGAAGCTACCTAACTGTCTAAGACTTGCTTCCAGTCGGGGTAGGAGTAGAGTTGATAATTGCTGAACCTGGGTGAAGATACTAGTCTATATTCCCTCCGTTCTTATGTAGGTGTGTCATTTCCATGACAAGTTAATAAAAGACCTAGTCTAAGAAAATAGGAAGTTACAGGTGAAAGTTTCCCTTTAAATATTCTACAATGGACAATGAGCTAGCTCTTTATATCTGCAAGAAAAGGGAAAAATTCCTCATGAAAAAAAGCAAGTTTAATGAAAAGCAGCACCTTGTTTCTTATGCGATCCCTCTTAACCACTTCCTCTTTCTTTTCAGTTTTTTCCGAGTTGCTTATTGATTCTGTGCTTTCAATCTTCTTTCCTTTATCCCGCAGTGCTTCTTTCTCTTTCTTCATCTCTTCTTCCTTCCTTTTAAAAGCCTTCTCTTTCTCATAACGCTCTTTTTGCCTACGGCGCTCTTCTTCTTGCCGCTTCAGTCTCTCCCTCTCTCTCAGGATGCGCTCTTGATCACGTTCATAATCCCGATCCCTGTCTCTGTAGTCTCTGCAGCTCTCATCTTCAGGTCTACATGAAAAACAAATCTGAGAATGTACCCTCAGAACTCTCGTAATCGTACGTGCAGGAACCCTGGGAGTGGGACTTGACCACTGCAACGATGCTACACATTTAGAGCAGAGTAGAAAATACTAGTGCTCTTAAAAAAAAAAAAAGACAGAAACTAAAAATCATTCCACCTAGATTAAGATATTAAAATATCTGAAACCCTCCTTTCCCCCTTCTCTCCTACTCAAATAGCTCACCCTCATTCAGTACGAATCGAGGACAAAGCGAGAGGTGCACCATTCAGAAATGAAGCACACGCAAAGCGCCCTCAACTACTGACCTCTTTGGCTTTTCATCTTTATATTCAATATCAGAACGCTTGGGTAATGTACAGCTTTGCCCACTGGCTCGCTCATCATTCAGATTCTCTTTGTCCAATTTCTTAGGTTTATCTCTTTTGTCCAATTCTTTTTCATCTCCCTTCTCTGGTTTCTTCAGCAGCTTTAAAGAAAATACGATTATTTCTATTTTGTTGAAGGATAAGAACTTGTCTTCTGATTCTACTAAAGAAAACAACATCCTAAATACTTAACATTTAGATTATAGAAAGCCCCCTATCTCTGTAGGAACTCAAACTTACAGGTGAACAACTAGTGCGTGAAGAGTAGTAATTTACTAAAAGGATGCTATTAATGTGAAAGTGTTATCCACTCAAAGGAAGTGGTTTAATCACTTTGTGGCAATAGGATCAAGACTCCTTTGGCTTTAAATGAAGCAGCTGTTAAGTGAAACATTATATATTTCCAGGTATGCTTTTGTAACAAACCAGCAAGCTAATATGACATGATTGGGAAATATCCCAGAGATTTAAAATGCTATCATTACTGTTGAACTGTTTTTATAAAGTATGGATTTGGAGTGGCACATACCTTGTGGTCACCAAAGGAGAGATCCATTGCAGGAAGAATTTTGCCTTGAGCCTGAGAATAACACACTCATGATGGGCCAATTGCATTACCATTACAGATGAATTATTTGGCATTTGATCGAAAAGTCCAAATGTCTTAACAGAATGGTGAAGCTCCATCTCTACTGAATAGGAACACTAAACTCAATGCCATATATAGCTGTATATTAAAATGTCATTCTTTCTTCAATTAAAGCTGCACATCTCTCTAGAATACTTTTAAGTGCTGAGTAGTCAGAGAGATTCTTAGGCAAAGTAAAAGCATTTGAAGTCTCAGAATGAAGTGTTATTCAAGGTTCATCTCAGGGTGAAGGCAGCATACAAGTCACCAAGCAAAAGAGAAAGCACAAGATTTGAGCATGGAGTATTTTGACACACAGGCAGTAACTGCAAATGGCAAGTCCAAACTGGACACTAAGAAGGCATCAGTGTAAAGTGAGGATACCATGTGCAGGTTTCATTGGAAGTGTTCTTATTTTTCTAATGAACATCCAGATTGGAAGCAAAGATGTTCATTAACACAATAAGAACTTGAATGAGAGTCTCTAGCATGGCTGGCTCTACCTTTTGCCTTGCTGATTGTTAGAAAGTGAAGTCACTTTGGGCATGGTGGAGATAATTCTACAAATTGAGGAAGGAATCCCTCATGCCCCACCAAGGCAGTTATCACCAATAATGAGTTCTATGGAGACCCAGGGACCCTAGCGAAATAAACAGCTGAGGTTTCAGGGGGTAAAAGATTCCACCATTATCTCTGTGAGATTTTCTCTGATTTTCACTAAAGTCAAAGGCACTTGGAAAAGTTGGTGGAAAAGTAGAATTAAAAAGTGTCTGAGGGGCTGGCACAGTGTCTCAAAAGGCTAATCCTCCACATGCAAGTACCAGCACCCCACCCCATTTGGGCACCAGTTTGTGTCCCAGCTAATCTACTTCTCATCCAGCTCCCTGCTTATGGTCTGGGAAAGCAGTAGGGGATGGCCCAAAGCCTTGGGACCCTGCACCTGTGTGGGAGACCCAGAAGAAGCTCCTGGATCCTGGCTTCAAATTGGCTCAGCTCCAGTCTTTATGGCCATTTGGAGTGAACCAACAGATGGAAGAGCTTCCTCTCCTTCTCTATAAATCTGCCTTTCCAATTAAAAAAAAAAAGAGAGAGAGAGAAAACTTGAGTGCAAACAAATTTTTGAAATGCATTTAGTTTTTGTTTCATAATATGCATGTTCCATAAACTTTTTTGAAGAGCCCTCATACTAGGTACTAGTACTTCCTTAGTAGTCCATTGGGAGCAAGGGCCGCTCAAGCCATGCCCTCAGAAGGGAAGCAGCAAGGTTGAGAACTTTCTACAAGTTTTCCTCTGCCTACATGCAATGTATTAATCCGACTCTTTGGCTCAGACTTATGGCTAGATGCAAGTGGGGAACAAGGAAAAGCACATTACGTGGACTGTATCTATCCCTGGGCCTCCTGCAAGGCAGCCAGATAGGAGAGGCATATGCAAAGAAGAGAACAAGCTATACAGGCATGGTTATCCTCTGGCTGAATGTCATTGAAGCTTCTAGGTTCACAGCAGAGCATCAGGAAGTCACCTGGGCTTCCTCTTCAAGTAGGAATTTTAAGTAGCTCAGCTTTTAGGAAGACTTAAGTCAATTTGAAAAGAGATTTCAATAAATAACACTACCACCACCACCACCGAAAGGACTTATTAGCTAAGACCTGCGTGTGTGACATGATACTAGGTGATCTGTATCATGTACTTGGTCCTTACATTTTTCTGATTCACAGCTTGTAACAGAAACCTGTGTACCTGAAGACAGTGGAAAACAAACAGATGAGGCAACTTCATGTATCAATTATGAAGGAAAAGCTGAATAAAACCCATAATTCATGCCAGCCAGTCCTAAGCCCTCATTTAGTATGAACTGAAAGAATAATCTAAAAATCGAACATGGTCAATGATAAAAAGAACAAAGATTGGCACTAAAGAAACAATAACCTCATGTAAACTACTTACTCCTTTTAAGTGATCGAAGTGATCTTAAATTTCAAAAAATATTAATTAGATCACAAGAAAGATTTCTATGAGTTTATTCCTCCCCCAATAAAGTATGAAAACAAAGCAAATACCTCATTTACATCAACACAAGATGCATGCGTATTTAAAGATGTGGATACATGCAATTTGCAGCAGCATGCAGTCAATTTAAATTCTTTTTCATACCTTTATCTTTGGTTCATCCCTTAATTTATCCCTTTCGGGAACTCTGTCTATCTTCTTCAGCTTTTCTATATCTTTCCTTTTTCGTTTCTCTTCTTCCTTCCACTTTCTTCTCTCTTCTTCCCTTTGCCGTTTTCTTTCTATTTCTCGCCGTCTTCTTTCTTCTCTCTTTTCTTCTCTCATTCTCTAAAAACAAACAGTAACACAAGCCTTCAAATAAGATAATCTTCATGAAAAACCCCATCAATCCCAAAGGTGGAGTGGACTCCCATTAAACTAGATCATCTACGTCCTCCTTAATCTCCACCCCACCAGAAAGGGACAGAGAATGAAGACAAGGACCTGCTAAGGTCAGCCTTCTCCTGCTGCCCTGAGATTATTTCCAGGGGCTTTCAGAATATCAAGGCAAGGTCTCTGGGATAAGCTAAAGCCTGTCCAGGTTTGCAGAGTGAACTCCAAGTCCAATAACTACGGTGAAATAGAGGATCAGAGAGTGAGACTTATGAGCCCAATGCTTAATGAATAATGGTGGGGTATTTATAGAATGTGAACCAATGAAAGTATTCAAAGAACCATAAAAACAAAAGGTTTACCTGCTTGTTTTTCAGGAAGCTCAAAAGTGGGGTTGTCTTTTTAGCTACATAAATGTAAACAGATTATTAATAATACTCATCATCCTGTATCAAGGATTCCATTTTCTGACATTCCCTGCCATCCACCCAAGGTGGGAAAACTATACCCCGTAACAAGAAAGTAACAACTGTATTATTGGGAAGTAGTTTTTACTGTATCCCATTTTAGTAACACAGGTTTAAAAGCTTCTTAGAAAGCGAAGAAATCAAAATTAAGACAATGAAACAATGTTTAAAAGAGTAATTCCAGTTAGTAAGAATTAAGTACAAAGAACATTCACTTGTTTTACTTATTGGAAGGAAATTGGGGGAAGAGACCAAGATGATCAAACCCTTTTGATCATATAATTCTGCTTCTGGGGGTTCATTCTAAGAAAGTTACCAGAAATGAACTTAACTATTGTATCTACAATTTAAAAATCAAATATTAGAGAATAATATTTCATTTTCAACATTGTAAACAATGCTATTAATTCTAAAAACTATCATTCTGAGTACATACTTGTTTTTGATATCCTAGGAGTGGAAATCTTGGGTCAGACTTTATTAGTGTTTAGTTACTAATACTACAGGTTGTAACACCTAGCACTTTTATTCATGTCCAAGCTAGAATTTCTCAAGAGGTTTTCACTTTTGTGAAATTCCTTTTTTGTGTGTGTGTGTGAATTCCTTTTTTGTTTTGTATTATCAGGTCAAAAGCTTTTTTATAACTATTAACTTTCATTACTACGAAATATCAATTAATCTTCAAAAGGCTTACACCTCCTATCACTCTTCAAAGCTTTTACACTTCTAATTACATTTGCGTGACTCGAAAGAGGTCATGGAGAATTTGTCCCATCCTAGCAAGGCATTCTCATAATCTTGTGACAAAACTCTGTGAGATTATCAGCTGCATTTTCCAGCAGAAGAACAATCTACAACAAATTTTGTGACTTGTCCAAGATCACACAGCTAGCAAGTGCTGCGAGCATGAGACAGATTTAACTCTCAAAAAACGATGAAATACCAGTCCCCTAATTCCTTTTGTCTACTTACCTATTAATTCTCTGTTTTTTGCTTCTATTTCTTCTAGCAGTGTCTCTGGAGTGGATGTCATTTTCTCATTGTCTGTGGCATAACTTTCTAAAAATTTTCTATATTCTGGATCTAAAAAAGTGTTCAAGGAACCAGAAAGTATAGTAGACTTTTTAAAAAAGGACAAATAGTATATAGGATACTTAATTGTGTATTTCATAGAAGACTTAAAAATGAATCATGGCATAATTGTAAGATAGATTATTTAGGCCTTAAATGATCACATATAGAAATGCTGCTGCCAGTATCCACAGAGGTCAGAAAAAATGAAACACCATACATCATTACAGAACCACCAATGGTATTACAGTTTACTTATTTTACTTTTTGGGTTTTATTTATTTGAAGGGCAAATAAGAGGGAGAGAGAGAGAGGGAGACAGAAAAAGGGCAATAGCTATATAGAGGGCCTGGCACAATGGCTCAATTAGTTAATCCTCCCCTCGCAAGTGCCAGCATCCCATATGAGTGCCAGATTGTGTCTCAGCTGTTCCACTTCTGAATCAGCTCCTTGCTTGTGGCCTGGGAAAGCAGTTAAGGGTGGCTCTAAGCCTTGGGACCCTGCACCCACGTGGGAGACAGGAAAGAAGTGCCTGGCTTCAGATCAGCACAGCTCCAGCCATTGTAGCAAACTGGAGAGTGAACCAGATAACGGAAGATCTTTTGCTGTCTCTCCTTCTCTCTACAAATCTGCCTTTCTAATAAAAATAAATCAATCTTGGGCCTGGCACAGTAGTAGCCTAGTGGCTAAAGTCCTCGCCTTGCATGCGCCGGGATCCCATACAGGCAGTAGTTCCTGTCCTGGCTGCTCTACTTCCCTTCCAGCTCCCTGCTTGTGGCCTGGGAAAGCAGTCAAGGACAGCCCAAAGCCTTGGGACCCTGCATCCATGTGAGAAATCTAGAAGAAGCTCCCGGCTACTGGCTTCAGATTGACTCAACTCTGGCAGTTGTGCCCACTTGGAGAGTGAACCAGCGGATGGAAGAGCTTTCTGTCTTTCCTTTTCTCTGTAAATCTGCCTTTCCAATAAAAAAAAAAAACAAAAACATACAAATCTTAAAGAGCTATACAGAGTTATCTTTCATCTACTGGTTCACTTCCCAAATGCCAACAACAGCCAGGGCTGTGCCAGCTGAGGGCCAAACACTTCATGGGGGTCTCTAATGTGGGTAGCAAGGGCCCAAGTAACTGGGTTATTTTGTGCTACTTTCCACAAGGAAAAGGAGGTAGCTGGACAGGAAGCAAAGGAATTGGTAATAGAACTGGCAGGCATATGGCATGCCCACGGTACAGTGGCTGAAGTGGCTGGTACACAGTCGTAGGCCCCTAGCTAATCTCGGGGACAACTATGGAACCTTCTGAGAGTATTAGGTAAAGTATTTAACAATCCCTGTATGAATATACTTTACTTTAGATTAACAAAAAATATGTTCCAAAAAGATAAATCAGGGGAGAAATCCTATATGTGGCACTGGAAGTGAGAGTAATTCCTGAAGTTTTCTCCTGGATACCTCTGCCATCAGAAAGGTTACAAATCCGAATCAATATACTGCTCTTTAAAAAAAATTATTTTTATTGGAAAGGCAGATATACAGAGAGGAGGAGAGACAGAGGGGATTTTCCATCCGATGATTCATTCCGCAAGTAAACTCAACGGCCAGCACTGAATCGATTTGAAACCAGGAGCCAGGAATCTCCTCCAGGTCTCCCACACGTGGGTGCAGGGTCCCAAGGCCTTGGGCCATCCTTGACTGCTTTCCCAGGCCACAAGCAGGGAGCTGGATGGGAAGTGGAGCCGCTGGGATTAGAACTGGCACCAATAAGGAACCCCGGGGCATTCAGGGCAAGGACTTTAGCTGCTAGGCCATTGTGCTGGGCCCAATATACTGCTCTTTTTAAAGATTTATTTTTGTTGGAAAGACAGAATTATAGAGAGGAGACAGAGAAATAGAGATCTTTCATCCATGGGTTCACTGCCCAAATGGCCACAAAGGTTAGGTCTGGGCCAGGCTGAATTCCAAAATCAGGAGCTCCATCTGGATTTCCCACATGGGTGGCCCTGACCCAAGTACTTGGAGCATCCTTTGTTGCTTGCCCAGGCACATTAGCAAACAGCCAGATCAAAGCACAACAGCCAAGATTCAGGGGCCAGTACAGTGGCTCAGTGAGCTAATCCTCTATTATGTGATGCTGGCATCAGTTTTGGCCACCAGCTCAAGTCCTGGCTGCTCCAATTCTGAGCCAGCTCCCTGCTTTATGGGCACCCTGGCTCTTGCTTCAGATCACCTTAGCTCTAGCTGTTGCAATCATTTGGGGAGTGAACCAGCAGAACATTTTTTTAATTATTTCTGTCTCCCCTTCACTGTGTAAATATCCTTTCCAATGAAAATAAATAAATCTTTAAAAAAATATTCGAGTTAAGTTCTCACCCAAGATAACAAGAGTTAAGCAACAGTTGTCTGACGGCATAATGTTAAATAGCTCAAAATCTGAAGGTAGTTTATTTTCAGTGTCAATCATTTCAGCTTTTCACTTCTTATGTTTATGTTCAATTGAATTACTATGTCTATAATTAACTGAATACTGAAAGCCTAGAAAATAGGAGTGGTCACTTTACTTTGTATGACACTATTTAGGTATGGGCATTTTCTCAAATAGCAGAAACCTTCAGACTTGGGAGACCCACATGAACCTCCTGGCTTTGTCCTGGTCTAGTCCTGGCCATTACAGCCATGTGAGGAGTGACCAGCAGATGGAAGAGCTCTCTGAAACTAACTCTACTTGTCAAGTAAATAATTTTTTAAAACAACAGCAAAATATTGTGCCCTATTTAAAGTACTTTATTTATTTTCATCTACTTGAAAGAATAAAAGAGAGTGAGAGCAAGAATCTTTTATCTACTGGTTCATTTCCCATGCACCCACAACAGCTAGGGTCAAACCACACTTGAGCCAGGAGCCAGGAACTCAGGCTGGTCTACCACTCTGGGTAGCAGGGGTCCAAGTACTTGAAACATCAGGATGCATTTGGAGGAAGCTGGATGAGGTCAACCCAAATAGCAGCTTAACCCACTGGGCCACGTCACCTATTCCAAAGTATTATCGTTGTTATTTTAAAAGATTTATTTATTTTTATGTGAAAAGTGGAGATACCAAAAGAGAAGGAGACACAGAGACAAAGATCTTTCATCTGCAGGTTTACTCTGGGCCAAAGCCAGGGGCTTCTTCAGAGTTTCCTACGTGGGTATAGGGACCCAAGCACATGGGTCATGCTCCACTGCTTTCCCAAGCCATTAGCAGGGAGCTGGATCGGAAGTGGAGCAGCCAGGATTCTAACCAGCGCTCATATGGGTTCCCAGAACTGCAGGCACTGCTGGCACTTACCTTACTTGCGAAGCTACAGCACTGGCCCCCAGCCAAGGTATTATTTTTAAAAAGCTCATAGCAGGCCTGGCATAATGGCTCAAATTGGCTATTTCTCCTCTTGTAAGTGCCAAGATACCATATTGGGCATCACTTTGTGTCCCGGTTGCCTCACTTCTGATCCAGCTCCCTGCCTGAGGCCAGGGAAGGCAGTGGAAGCTGGCCCAAACCCTTGGGACCCTGTGCCCATGTGGGAGACCCGGAAAAAGCTTCTGGCCACTGGCTTTGGACTGGTTCAGCTCCAAGCACTGTGGCCATTTGGGGAGTAAACCAGCAGGTAGAAGATCTTTGTCTCTCCTTTCTAATAAAAATCAATGTTTTTTAAAAAGGTCATAGCAATAGCATACTGTAACTAGAATTGTAACATACCATCATCAATAGTTCCAACTTTCGTATCTCTTTTCTTAGTCTTCTTTTTGGCAGCCTTTTGAAAAGGTGCAAATTCTACTATAGCAGGATATTCCTGACCTGTTTAGAAAAAGAATTACTTTTATGAAAAAGGAAAGGTCAAAAATGGATACAACGTAATCCACTCACTGCCTCCTAGGTCTCCTTTCACAGCTGCTATCTGAATTGGATCTCCCAAATGGCTTGCAGCACATGGCCACAATTACAATCAATAATGCTACAAAAGAAGCTCAAAATTCACACTGATAACATAGTGAAGACTTGGGAGGGAAGTGAAATATTCACTTAAGATTCAACTTCTAAAGTGTGATTGTTTTTGATATGCAAAATGAAGCCTAATTTTCATTGTAGATGTAAAGCACAATAAAATAACTCCAGCTGATCAGAATGAATCCCAAAGTAATTCTGATTTTAGGTATCCCAGTAAATCCAGAATTACAAAAGCTTCACAGCCATGAGACCTTGGAGAAAGGATAGAATAGATAAATCAGGCTGAAACAGGGGTGGTGTAAGATAGGCTTGGCAAGACAGAACTAAAGGCAGACTATGGAGGACTATGACTACCAGGCTAAGGAGTCAGATCTTTTTTTTTTAATGACAATTGTTAACAAAAATCACTATGTTCAAAAAGAATAATTTTTATAACAGCAGACTAAATTAATAAATTATTCAGAAGGAAAAAATCCTGTAAGTTTAGAGAAAGCAGTTGTCCAAGTATTTGGTGACAAAGCCCATAAAGTGAAAGTACATAAGTTCAAATGAATAGAGACGAAATTGACAAGTCATCACTTGTTTTAAGTGCAAAGACTATAAAAATAAATACAAAAGTTCAACATGATTCATATCTCTAGGGTAAATAAGTAGGAAATCATTGCTCTCTACCAAAGAAAGTAGAAGTGGAAAAACAGCTGTGTTCTCATTTTTTACAGGTATGTTCCCTGACAAGGATTTAATTTTTACCAAAGTAACACTGAAAATACAAACCAACACAATCAGGTCATTCGCTTACGATTAAAAAGTCAAAAACAAAACAAAAGCAAATGGCAGCTGCTTAGATTCTCTGGATGAAGACTGTATGCAGCAGATACAAAACAGAAAGCCTTGAGGCAGCGTTCCCCTATGACCAACCTGGCCACAAAGTAAGAGATCAAGTCTGAGGTTTTAATTCTCTCCTATAAAACTTTGTGAGAAAATTAAACAGTATGCCATTGGAACTACTGACCTACACAATCCAAATTAAATAATTAAACAAATGTTGGTCCTTGAAGCAAGAAGAGAAGTAAATACTTAAAACTTTCACACAAGTTTAAAGTCACTTATCACTATTGTTGCTGAAACGAAATAGTCAAAACAACAGATCTAAACCAAGGCAAAGACACTGGTTACGCGAGGAGAAAACAGTGGCACCTTCATTCAGTTGATCAAACTAAAACCCGGTTTAATAAAAATACCTAAAAGCTGTGAAAAGTCACATGTCTCTAAGACTGCAATGACCTTATCCGATTTGTAAAACTCTAAATATTGCACAATTTTTCACTCACGATTTACAGAAGCCACCCAGGAGGAAGCCACAGAGACAACATGGTGATGCGCATGTCATCTTAAACATAAAAGTAACACAGCCAGCCACCCTCTACTTCCCTTATGAGCACTCACCTTTATTGTCAAGGAATACATAACCATCAAACCGATCCCTGAACAAAATAATGTCCTCTTGGTTTTTAAAGTTGATGTATGCTCTGGCATACATATGAGGATACAGACTGCAGAGAGGAAAGCAATTATGTAAATAGGCTTGCAGGTGTCTAGCTGAATTACAAGCAGGTACATATTAAAGAGACCGATTCAAAACTCAAATAGAAAAGATCAGGATAAAAAAGAATTGAAGAAATCTTTGCCATTTACCCCTCCCTCTTTCGTTTTACCTAGTATCATTAGAAAAAAATTCAAAATAATCATGCTCAGGCATAGGCTGAAGATGTTCCTGAAGCTGTTCCTTGGTCAAAGTGGGAGGTAATCTTCGAATTACCACCTTAGGGAATAAATAAGGAAAATAAAATCAGTGCGTAAAATTTTCATCAGACCTGAAAGAATCATCATCCGTGAAGAAAACTGGTCCGTAGAATATCAAAGCACATAGGAAAACTCTGAAAACTCAGCAGTTCAGTGCCCGAATTATCATGATAGTCTCATGATTTTTTAAAACTCTGGGAAATAAGAATAATTTGCAGCAAAGAAAATCCCACCTTACGCTCTCAGCCTGCATTCCCGACATTTCCCAGGTTTGCGCATCATTTTCTATCCCCCACGTAGCCAGAGTTTGAGTGGCCAAACGTTAGTAAGCCAACTCTAGTCTTTCGGAACGCACCAAATCTCGATTTAGTAACATTTCTCTCCCGCCAAACACATCCTAAAACAGAATCATTGCTGCATCGGCTTAAATTCAAAGCGCTAATGAGGACCCCCACTGGAAAAAAGAAAATCAACCATGGCTCTCCAAATAGGATGCTCTTGATCTTCCTTGTATTCCGAAACCCCCGCCCTCCCTCCAAGTTACTTCCATTAACATTGTAACCAGAACCGCTGCGGTTCCCTCTTCACTATTTGCTAATACACTCCAACCCATCTTTTAATTCCTCATTTTCTTTATTTCGGTAACCCGTTTCCACTATTACATCGCTGCGCTGACCTAACCCCTTCACGTCGTGGGAGTCTTTGCTTTCTAGACTTCCCAGCCCGCCCCCTCCCCATCTCGGGCGAGCAGACCGAGAGGTGATTTTCATTCAGGTTCAAGACAGAGAGGAACCAGTGAGAGCCACAGGGCAGCCCCATTCCCGGCCCTACTCCACAAGCAACGGACCCGTCCCGCCCTCTCCCGGGCCAAGAGCCGGCCGACACCTTGCTGAGCGCCTCTTTCTTCTCTTTATTGCGATCTTGCTTGTCGTCCCCTTTGCCGTAGTCCCCCGAAGTCCCGCCGCCGCTGCTTGTAGCTCCTTGGGGGGTCAACAGGGTTACTCGCTTCTCCTTAGGCCTATAGTCCTTCTCTTCCTTCATGGCCACGGTTATGCCCAGAAGAACCTCCGTCGAATCTCAAATGCCGCTACGCCGGGTACCTACGACTCCCGGGCAGCTTCCCATCATGACTCCGCCCCCCCAATAAACGCCCCTAGTGATAAGCCAGGACCCGCGTTCCAATTGGGTCCCTCCGGGATATCGCGAGATTTTAGGACCCGCGGCTTCCTTCAGTGGAAAGGTTTTTAACACCTGGTCTTTACTTCCTGACTGCCGAACCCCAGCGTTGCCCAATCCCCTCGTGACTCAGACTCCCTCGGGACCCGCCCCGTGCGCGTCATTGGCACTCCGCCATCTTGACTAGAAATGACTGTTTTGGGGACTACAAATCCCGGCATACAAAGTAGCTGCCAGTGTTTCTCAGCTCGAAAGACGGGTTTTGAGGACGACATTTCGCTTACTTTACCTTAGGTAACACTTTCTATCACTGAGTTTAAATTGTGATTCTTGTGAAGCTGGTGTTGTGGCTTAGCGCCGCCTGCATGACCAGCTTTCATTATGCGCAACTGACTGAATCCCTTCTGCTCCACTTCCTATCCACCCCCATTCTAATGGACTGCAAAAGCAGGGGAGATACTTAGCCCAGGTGCTGGAGTCCCCTACCACTCACGTGGGAAACTCAGATGGAACTTCTGGGTCCTAGCTATGGCTTGGCCCCGCCCTAGCTCTCCCAGTCCAGAGGACCGTCCCATCCCTCCATTCCCTCCCCCCGCCGCCTTTGAGCTCATCTTGGGTGTGTGAACTTACAGAAGGGGTATCTCTCTCCCTCTCTCTCTGTCAAGACAACTTTGAATAAAAATAAACAGATAAGTCTTTACAAAAAAAAAAAAAACACAAACTTTCTGGTTTCCGAGGATTTAGAATCTCTTTCCAAATCTTGATTGGGAAACCCAGAGACAAGCACAACATAACGATACTTTACAACAAATAAAATCAGTATGCATGAGTTTTATTGACACCCGTTTTTAGTAAAAATGGCCCTCTCTTGGGACCGCATGCCAAATGAGTTCGTGCCCCAGATTCCAGCTGCCTGGCAATCACACTTTGGGGAGGGCGGGGGACAACAGCTGACTTCAGGGATTTCAATCCCGGCCTCCCACATGGAAGACCTCTGCGGAGTGCCGGGCCCCTGGTCCTGCCGGACACTGCCCAGAGTCACTAGGGACATTTGCCAGGAGTGAATCATCTCTATCTCTGTGACTTTCAAGTAGTTTTTTTAAAGAGTAGATCCTGGAATCAGTGTTCCCACAGGGAGGGGGAAAGTAAGACTCAATTTCTTTTAATTAGGCTCTTCCTGCTGCCCACTTTTAACTTTAAAAAGGATCTGCTTGGGTATGGTGATGTGGTTCAATAGCTAAAACCTCACTTTGCAAGCGCCTGGATCCCATATGGGTGCCAGTTCCTGTTTCAGCTGTTCCACTTCACATTCAGCTCCTATCTTGTGTCCTGGGAAAGCACTCAAGGATGGCCCAAGGCTTTGGGATCCTGTGCCCATGTTGGAGATCCAGAAGTTCCTGACTCCTGACTTTAGATCGGCTCAGCTCCTGCCGTGGTGCCCAATTGGGGAGTAAATCAGAGGGCAGTAGATCTTTCTCTCTGCCTCTCCTTTTTTTCTGTAAGTCTGTCTTGCCCAGAAAAATAAGTAAATCTTTAAAATATTTTTAGGAAGTGAAGGGCAGCCATGGTATGGGATGAAAATGAAGTGAATTTTTTGGTTATCATCATTGATATGAACCCAACATGGTGGGGGAAGCAAACATTGAAGGAGTCTCAGTTTACCTTGTCAAATGCATAGATGCTGTGATGGTGCTAGGAAATTCCTCTCTGTTCATGAACCACTCCACCAAGCTTGTTGTGATTGCTAGTCACATTCAGGAAAGCCGATTCTTATATCTCGAGAAGAATGGCAGAGCTGGAGACTTTATTGGAGAGCCTGGCAAACCACCTGCTGAATTTAACCCTTCTGGAAGTAAAGATGGAAAAAATGAACTGTTAACGATAGCGAATGAAGTTATTGCAGAAGAGAATAAAGACCTAATGACTGGGCCTGGTGTAGTAGCCTAGCAGCTAAAGTCCTCATTGTGCACAGCACCAGGATCCCATATGGGCACCAGTTCTAATCCCAGCTGCCCTGCTTCCCTTCCAGGGCCCTGGTTGTGGTCTGGGAAAGCCATCACGAGCCATCATGGATGACCCAAAGCCTTGGGACCTTACATCCACATGGGAGACCCAAAAGAAGCTCCTGGCTTCGGATTGGCACAGCTCTGCCCACTGGGGGCTGCTTGGGGAGTGAATCATCGAGTGGAAGATCTTCCTCTCTGTCTCTTCTCTCTGTATATCCGAGTTTCCAATAAAAATAAATAAATACTAAAAATGATCTCATTAGCAAAAATTACTTGAAGGGGCAGCATGCAGAAACCCTACAGGCACGATTCCTGGCCAAAGCCCTTTGCTATACTCACAGAATGAACAAGGAGGTGAATGATAATCAGGAGATGAAGTCCAGGATGCTGGTGATTCAGGCTGCAGAAGAGAGCGTGCTGCAGCACAGGATCTTCATGAATGTCATCTTTGCAGCACAGATGGACGCCTGCAGTTTAGACACCGACTCGGGACTCCTCCAACAGGCTTGTGACATCACCAGGGACTGTACCTCAAGGTGTCTCAGATGCCCTCCCTCCTGCAGTACCTCCTGAGGGTTTTTCTTCTGGATCATGATCATAGATCACAGTTAATCCTGTCACCCCTGTCCAGGTTGATTATAGGGCTGTTTGCTTCTTTCATTGAAACCACATCAAGATTAGCTATGTGGGCCCAGCGTGATAGCGTAGTGGTAAAGTCCTTGCCTTGCACATGCTAGGATCCCGTATGGTTGCCGGTTGTAATCCCGGCGGCCCTGCTTCCCATCCAGCTCCCTGCTTGTGGCCTGGGAAAGCAGTCAAGGATGGCCCAAAGTCTTGGGACCCTACCCTGGCTTGGGAGACCCGAAAGAAGCTCCTGGTGCCTGGCTTCAGATCGAATCAGCTTTGGCAGTTGCGGCCACTTGGGAAGTGATTCAGTGGACGAAAGATCTTCCTCTCTGTCTCTCCTCTCTGTATATCTGCCTTTCCAACAAAAATAAATGTCTTTTTTTCAAAAAAAGATTAGCTACATATGTTCTGTGTGCCTGTCCATATTCTGCAGTTTCAGCCCCATCTGCATCACATGCAAAACAGCCTTCTAGATGTCTCTGCATCCCATGCTCAAGGCCAAGAAGCTTAAGGTGTCTGCATAATGGAGGCTTTCCCTGTGTGGCAGCAGCCGAAGGAGCAGCTGTAGCAGTGTAGGGGGCATCCTTCATGTCATGTGGCTCCTTACAGGAAGGGTGGCCACAGCATTGCTCCTGTCATGCTTCGGGGAGGAGGGCAGCTACTCTGCACTGTGTCTCCACATCCTCTCTGCTCAGCACGACCTCTCTGTCATGTTTGTTTAATGAGATGGGCATCTGTGAAAACCCACTCACCCTGCCTGACCTGGGTGATGGACAGCCTAGGAAAGCTGACCACAGCTCTGGACAGGCGCCACTGATAGCAACTGCCAAAGTGAGACAACAGGTGACTCCATGGATGTTTCGAGTGGGAGTTCTGCTGAGACCCCAGCCGACACTGTTCTCAGTGTAGTTTGCCCTGAGTGGTACAAGCCATCACAGCAGCGTCACTGAATCGCCGTGGACTGTGGTTTCATGTGACCCAGGAGAGCAAGTGCAGAAAGCCACTAGCAGATTTTCCTTCCAGAACAGCTGTGTGAAGTGCTTGCTTGTGAAAACTGATGCCAGGGTTCTGAAGGGAGGCTTGTTGGGGAAAATGGACTCTGCTAGTATGTCCCCAGGTTGAACTCTATCCCGTTGTTAATGAAAAAACAACAACAAATAAACAAAACCCACCTTCATGTTGGAGAACTATCCTCTAAAAGCTTTGGCCTGAACATTGAAAAATTTATGTAATGTAAAACAAAAATTATTTGCAATTTTAACAATAAAAATGATTTTACTATTTAAAATAAGTATTTTTTAAATAAATAAACATTTTTTCAAAGGGGGCCAGTTCAAGACTCAGCTGCTCCACTTCCGATCTAGCTCCTTGGTAATGCCTCTGGGAAAGCAGTGAAGGATGGCTTAAGTCCTTGGGCCCCCACCACCCACTTGGGAGAACCAGATGGAGCTCCAGGTTCCTGGCTTTGGAATGTCCCATCCCCGGCCATTGAAGCTATTTGGGATGTGAGCCACTGGATGCAGCATCTCCCTGTCTTTCTGTAGCTCTAACCTTCAAATACATAAGAGATTTTCAAAAACATTTTATAAATTATTTTAAAAGATCACTCTAAAATTAGACAATATTTGTATTATATGACATTGAATGTAAGAACACCAGCACTTTATTTTTTAAATAGTTTTTTTTGTTGTTGTTGTAAACGTGGATTTACAGAGAAGAGAATACAAAGAAGATCTTCTGTCTGCTGGTTCACTCTCCAAGTGACCACAACAGCTGGAACTGAGCCAATCTGAAGCCAGGAGCTTCTTCCAGGTTTTCCATCCAGGTTCTGGGTCCCAAAGCTTCGGACTGTCCTTCACTGCTTTCCCAGGCCACCAGCATGGAGCTGAATGGGAAGTGGAGCAGCCAGGACACAAAGTAGTGGCCATATGGGATGCCACCAAGTCCAGGATTTAGCCACTGAGCCATTGCACTGGGCCCCACCAGCATTTTGCACACAAAGAAAATTTTAAAAACAAAACAAAAAATACCAGCTTCCAAGCTTGAAGTTTGGCCCAGTGGTTAAAATGTTGATTAGTATGCCTGTATTCTGTACCGGAGTGCCTGGGTTGGATATGTGGTCCTGACTCCTGTCTCCAGCTTCCTGTGGATGCAGAAACTAGAAGGCAGTGATGATGCTAAAATAATTAGGCTCCTGAGCCTATCTGGGATAGCTGACTTGAGAGCCAGGTCCGGGCTTTAGTCACAGCACAGTCCTCACCATTATTGGCATTTGCAGAGTGATTCAGCAAGTGGCAGTGCCCTTTCGATAGATAGATAGATAGATAGATAGATAGATAGATAGA